CTCGACGCTGTGCCGAATTCAACCGCTGGTTTGGGTGGTCCTGACCAAACTTGAGAATTCTCTCGCTCGGTCACATCGACGTCGATTCGGCTGATTTTTGGACGGATCGATGGCTCTCGTCGAGTTCTCGAAGCCCAGCCGAAGAGCTTGTGTCGAACCATTCGAATACGCTCACATTAAAGTCGGGTTGAAGATTTGGTTTCCACACAGGCTCTACGGCGCGGACGAGTTCACGGTGTCCTACGAGCTGGACCTCGGCTACTCGCCGACGTCGTCGGGCGGGCCGAGCGCGCACGGGTCCGTGCAGCTCATGCGCTACGTGCCCGAGCTCGGCCGCATCCTCGTCGTGTCCAAGGATTCGCCCAAGTTCAAGGCCTACGACGCGCTCGGCGGGTTTCAGCACGAGTACTCGTTCGACGCGGGCGGCGAGAACGGCGGCCCCGCGTCGCCGACGGCGCGCGGCGGCGGCGCGGACGCCGAGGCGCCGTCCGAGGGCGTCATCCACGACCTGATCTACATTTCGGAAAGGCAGACCTTGGTGGCGGCGCTGTCGGACCACGCGATCCACCTGCTCACGGAGCAGCTCAGCAGCGCGGGCAAGCACCGGACGTACAAGTCCGCGGGCGTCATCGTCACGCACTCGCTCCACCGCATGCTCGTCTGGAGCCCGACGGCGGACCGGCTCTTCTCCGTGGACACGTACTCGAAGCTCTACAACTGGTCCCTCGACTCGGCCGTGCGGTCGCAAAAGTTCGCGGCGGCGCGGGACGCGCGCGCGACGCGCCCGACTTCCAAGGCTCCCCTCTCGGCTCGTTTCGCCCGATGTTTGGACGAGCCATCATCTCTCGGAACGGTCTCGACGCGTCGATGGTGTCTCGAGAACGCGGAACGCGCGCGTCGAAGCGACGTCGAACCGCCCGCGTCCCGCCCAGGTTCGCGTCGCCGCCGTTCGCGCCGCACGGCGACATCCTCATGGACGCGATCTTCATCAAGGAGAAGGGCCTCCTGGCGACGTGCGGCCTCGACAAGAAGATCAAGCTCTGGGGCATCGAGAATCTGAGGCCGCGGGGCACGCTTCTCGGCCACAAGCTCGGCGTCCGCGCGATCTCCTACGCGCAGTCCGTCCTGATCTCGGGCGGCTTCGACAACGAGGCCATCGTCTGGGACATCACGTCCCACGAGATCCTCTGCACCATGAGCGGCCACCAGCACGCCATCGGCACGGTGGAGATCATCGCGCCGTCCGCGGAGAGCGTCTGCGTCGTCACGCTCGACGACAGCGGCGAGTGCCGCTACTGGCGCCTCACGAACCACGGCAGCCGCGTCGAGTGCATCGACTGCTTCAAGCTACCCTTCACGGACCCGAGCGGGCCCACGCGAAGCGTCGTCATGCCCTGGAACCGGAAGCACGTCGTCGACGACTTCCCGGACCTCTTCTTCGGCGGGTCGCGCGTCTACCACATGGTTCCCGTCAAGACGATGCGCGAGTTCGCGCCGCCGAGCTCGTCGATCTACAACTCGACGTCCTACCAGTTCGTCTCCGCCGTGGGCAACACGGTCCACGTCTGGGACTCGCGCACGGGCCGCTACCTCGAGCGCTTCCGCGTCGACAAGCGCGAGATCTCGTCCATGTGCTTCGACATGCCGCGGATGCGGCGCGTCTTCCTGGGCACGGAGAGCGGCGCGATCGCGACGCTCAACTACGTCACGGGCGAGGTCCTCGCGGTCTGCGCGGCCCACGACCGGGAGGTGAGCGGCCTCGTGTTCTGCGAGCTCACGAAGTGCGTCATCTCCTACGGCGCGGACAGAAGGCTCCACGTGCTCAAGGACGTCAAGTCGTCGCTGTCCGTGCTCCGGACCGCGGAGAACGCGCGCAAGGGCGCGACGCTCACGTGCCTGGCCTACAGCGCGCCCCTGTCGCTCATCGCGACGGGCGACTCCGAGGGCGGCCTCGTGCTCTGGGACTTCCAGACGCTCCAGCAGCACGCGTTGATCCGCCTCGAGGGGCCCGCGGCCGCGTGCGCGGTGCTCGACCCCTACCCGCTGCTCGCGACGGGCGACACGGACGGCGTCGTGCGCCTCTGGCAGCTGGGCCTCGACGCGGGCTACGTGACCGTCGACCCGCTCTGCGTCATGGGCCCGCCGGAGGACGGCACGATCGGCAACCCGGCCGCCGCGGATCGCCGGCCCGGGTCCCCGGCGCGCGAGTCCAACTCGACGCCGAGCATCACGGGCCTCGCCTTCCTCCACAAGCACCGGCTCCACGACGGCGCGGCCATCGAGGGCAGCTTCAAGGGCGACCGCGCGCGCCGCGCGACGCTCCGCCACCTCAGCGCCGACGCCGCGAAATCCGCGAGCACCTGTGTGGAAACCGACCAGCGAGCTGGGACGTCGGGGCCAAAACGAGAAATCTCGAGCTCGGTCAAATCGAAGTCCATTTGGCTGATTTTTGGACGAGTCGTTTTCTCTCGTCGATTTCTCGAAGCACAGCCAAAGAGCCTACCGTTCCATGACGCTCACCTTGAATTCGGGTTGAAGATTTGATTTCCACACAGGCGTCGACGCGCGAGCTCGACAAGTACGACGGCGAGGTGCTCGTCGCGTCGACGGACGCGGGCACGCTCGCCTGCTGGCACTTCGACTTCGTCCACGCCGAGTTCCCGCACCGCACGCTGCCCGTGCTCGAGGCCGAGCGCGCCCCCCGCGCGCGAAACTTTCGGCCGCCGGGCCGCGCGCGGACTCGGGACCGCGCGAGCTCGCGTCGACGTCGACCGACGCTCGGACGCGCCGTTCGACGTCTCCGCGGAGGCCCGTTCGAAACGTCGACGTCGCCGCGACGCGCCGCCCCGCCGCAGGTGCCCGCCGTTCGCGTCGAACTTCAAGCCGTACCGCAAGGTGCTCCGCGACATGCAGCGCTGCGACGAGGCGAGCCAGGTCCTCACGGCGCGGCCCGGCGACTGCCCGGCCTTCGCCGCGGACGCGCGGTGCCTCGCGCACGACGAGTCCGTGCTCCAGTGCCTCGTCGTCGACAGCCCGCCCTGCGTCTACTCGACGTCTGGCGCTGCGTGGAAATCAACCGCTGGTTTGGGACGTCCCGACCAAACTTTGAAATTCTCTCGCTCGGTCACATCGAAGTCGACTCGGCTGATTTTTGGACGGATCGATTGCTCTCGTCGAGCTCTCGAAGCACAGTGGACGTGCTTGCGTCGAAGCACTCGAATACGCTCGCATTGAATTCGGGTTGAAGATTTGAGTTCCACGCAGGTCCGGCGACGGGTTCCAGCGGCTGTGGGACCCGCGGACGCTCCGCGCGCTCGGCGAGTTCGAGCTGCCGAACCGCCTCGAGGACGACGCGAAGCGCACGATCCCGGAGAAGAAGGACTGGGACTACTTCTTGAAGGAGGCGCCGGCGGTGACGGCCGACGACGAGCGCGTCGCGCGCGAGCTGCTCCGCGCGACGGCGCCGAAGAAGGTGTCGCTCCGGACGCGGTTCCAGCGCGCCGTGAAGCGCGTCATGACGCTGGGCGCCTTCGGCGGCGTCGTCGAGATCGAGGACGGCCACGAGAAGACGGAGGAGGAGATCCTCGAGGAGTGGGAGCGGCTCCGCGAGTCGCGGCCCGAGGCTGGGCAGCAAAAGAGAGCGAAATTCCCAACTTCAAAGGCTCATATCTCGGCCGTTTTCCACTCGTTTCGGCTGATTTTTGGACGAGCGATCGTCTCTCGGAACGGTCTCGAAGCGTGGATGCTTTTTCCGGAACGCGCGCGCGCGAAACACTCACGTTGAAGCGACGTTGAATCACTCTTTTGCTGCCCAGGCCCGAGGGCGCGCGCGAGCGGACGAAGCTCCGCCAGGGCAAGCGCGACGACCTCCAGGCGAAGAAGGACGACGACGCGAAGCGGCGCCTCAAGGCCGGCGTCATCCGGCGCAACGCGCTCACGCAGATCGGCAAGCGGCACCGGCCGACGCGCGACGCCAAGTCCGTGCCGCTCCAGCGCGTCGAGAAGTTCGCGGCGTCCGCGGAGAAGCACGGCACGAACGCCTTCAGCGACAAGAGCATCAACGGCGGCCTCAAGGCCGGCTTGTTCGACGTCGAGGGCTACCAGCAGCTCAAGGGCATCGCGCGGTTCCCGGAGCGGCGGACCGCGTACGCGCCAGGGCAGGACAAGAGAGATTCAACGTCGCTTCAACGTGAGTGTTCCGCGCGCGCGCGTTTCGGAAACAGCACCCACGCTTCGAGAGCGCTCCGAAAGATGATCGCTCGTCCAAAAATCAGCCGAAACGAGCGGAAAACGACCGAGATAGGAGCCTTTGAAGTTGGGAATTTCGCACCCTTTTCCTGCCCAGGTACGCGCGCCGCGTCGACGGCGGGCCCTCCGAGGACCTGCCCGTCGCCGACGACGAGCCCCACCTCAAGCGGTCCCAGTCCCTCATCACGCTCAAGAAGACGTCGAAGCTGAACGCGCGGCGCGAGCTCGCGGAGGACGTCGTGCCCCTCGTCGACGCGTCCGCGCTGCCGCGGCGCCGCGACGACGACGGCTCCGCGAGCAGCGACGACGAGTCGCGGAGCTCGGCGGCGCACCTGAGCCGGTCGACGAGCCGCCACATGGAGCGCATGGCCGCCGCGATGCAGACGGCGGACGGCCCCGAGGGCCGGCGGCCGTCGCGCGCGCCGCGGCGGAGCTCGTCGATCTACCGCGGCGGCGGCCGCGGCTCCGTCGCCGGCGCGCCGGCCAAGGTCGACATCGAGCAGGTCGTCAAGCCCCACTACACCATGGCGGACGTCGAGTCGTTCCGCGACAGCTTCAACTTCGTCGACGTCGACCTCAGCGGCATGATCAACATGGAGGAGTGGTTCCTCTTCCTCGGCCGCATGAACCAGAAGCTGAGCCCCATCGAGTCGCAGCTCCTGTTTTTGCACATCGACAAGGACCGCGACGGCGAGATCCAGGGCAGCAAAAGAGAGCGAAATTCCCAACTTCAAAGGCTCCGATCTCGGCCGTGTTCCACTCGTTTTGGCTGATTTTTGGACGAGCGATCATCTCTCGGAACGGTCTCGAAGCGTGGATGTTTTTTCGGGAACGCGCGCGCGCGGAACAATCACGTTGAAGCGACGTTGAATCACTCTTTTGCTGCCCAGGCGAGATCACGATGCGCGAGCTCCTCGCGATCGTGTTTCAGAAGGCGACCGCGAAGCAGCTCAACACGATGCACCGCCACCTCTGGGACCTCCACCTCCGCGACGCGACGGAGCGCAAGCAGCGCGACATCGAGAAGTTGGTGAAGAAGAAGCAGAAGGAGATGTTCACGGACGTGCCGGGCCACGACGCGGCCGACGCGGGCGCGTAGGGGGTGTGTTGGCGGGTGTTGGGCGGCTAAGTCTCAAGAGCACAGCGTATTAAGAGCCCAGGCGTGGCGTGCTCCGATTCGGAGGGCTTCTTCATTTGCCCTTGGCGGCCGCGCGCGCGTGCCAGCGCTGGGCTTCGTCGGCATCGGCTTCGACGCCCGTTCCATCTCGGTACAAGTTCCCGAGGTAGCGCATTGCATCGCCGTAGCCCTGGTCAGCGGCGAGCCTCATGTAGGCGAACACCGTCTCGAGCTTCAAGAAGTTCTCTGTCTCGGAGTCGAATCGCTCTACAGTATGGTCGTCGAATCGCTCTACGGCATGGTCGCGCAGGAAACGCGCATATTCGTATTGGCCTTCCGCGTCGCCGCGATCCGCGGCCATTTCGAAAGAAACCATCGCCACCCCGAGATCCTGTTCGACTCGAGATCCCGTAGGAGGAAACTGGTACAGCCAACCAAGCTTGATCATCGACCGCACGTCCCCGCGAATCGCCGCGCGCATCCAGTAATCCGCAGCCGTACGCCCGCACGTCACGAGACCGAGGTGGCCACCGAAGTGCTCGGATCCCAAGCGCTCGAGCGCTTCTGGGACGAGGTTCTCCGCGTGGTGTTGAATCCGAGCCAGGAATTCCGCTCCGTCCCTCGGCCACGGAACGCGACAGAGCGGACACGGCTTACCGATGAGCCTGAGCCAGCAGGCGTGGCAGAACATCTTGGCGCAGCAGAATCTGATCTCCCCTGGATAATCGGGCGCATCTTCATCGGCCCAGGCTTCCCAGCAGACCGGGCACTCGCCTCCGAATCGCGCCGACCGCACCGTCGCTACCTGCCGCGGCTCCGGCTCCGCGTTGACGTCCAGCTCTCCCAGCGCGACGACGCACTGCCGGTACGCGCCCTTGCTGACAATCGGGTCGGGCACGTATGCCCCGCGCGCAGATCGGGTGTTGCGGCGCGAAAATGCACGGGCCTGCGCGATGAGGCCATCTTTACGCGCGTATTCCGCGCGGATGATCGACTCCCTGTGCGTCTCCGGGCCGTAGAGCACCCCGCGCGACGGCGACTGCGTCGGCACCTCCAAATGCGGCACGTCCGTGCCAAGGGCCACGTCCTGGTCCGCCTGCCCCGCGCGCTCGTCGTCGCGGTTCCGCTCGCGGTTCCGCGCGGCCGCGTCGTCCGCTTCCCCCCGCGTCGCGGGGCCGTAGAATACCTCGACCGGAGGCGACGGCGGGCGCGTCGGCGCGTCCGCCCGCGGCGCGTCGCCCGTCGCTTCCGCCCCGCCCGTCGCCTCCGCCTCGCCCGGCGCGTCCGATTGCATCGCTTCTGTGAGTCCGCTTTACAAGTAGTATTGGACTTCCGTGGGGCGCACCGCCGGAGGCGAGGTCCACCGCCGCACCACGGGCCGTTTCGTGCCTGATACGCGAGGCTCTGTGCTCGTGACTCACGGAGCCGTGGCGGCGTCGAGTTGAGAGCTGAGATGTAGATTTCGCGGACTGCTCGCTAATTTTTTACCAGTGAAGAGTAGACCCGAGGGGCAAGGAGTACCGTC